GGACAGCTTTACCTTTACCTTACTATCTAATCTACATTCTAGTCTTTTAATAGCCTTTTCCCTTCTGGTTTTCCAAGTAAAATGTTTACAGTGATAGACAGGAGAATAGACAGAGATTAAAATGGCAGGGTTAAGTGATTAGACAATTAAAATTGAACATAAACCGATCTAACCGTTGTAAACTAGCATGTTACTGAAGTAAGGTTATATTTACTTGTTCTGGCCCTAACATAAATCATTCTAACATAACTAATGTGGTACTGATATTCCCAATGTTACCACAGAAACTCTTGGAATGGATAAACTTCAAGTTGTGGGTTTTGAATTATTACAGGAATATGCCCACACATTTTTAGTTTTTCTGCGTATTACTTACCGATAAAACACACATGACATGCCGGCGAGACTTCGAGGGTTTTGCACTACCCATCCAGTGATGCTAGAAGTTTGGTTATAATTCTCACCAAAGTACTGTTTACAAATGCACATACATCACTCATATACACCAAAGCAATGAAACCGATAATGTGTCAATTAAAAAATGACCGAAAATGGTTTGGGAAAGATTGTCACGTTTCTCACTTTGTAGCGGACCCACGTGGTCATTACTTCAGTATTCTTACGTTTCTGTGCTTTAAATGCGTGTGACAGTACTTCGAATCCCGATGAGTTTACTAATATATCTAGTAGATGTCAATATGACGAGATAACAGAGAAAAAAGAATAACTGTAGAAAAATATATGAAATATTTTGCAACTAATGAAACCAACAACTGAAGCAAAGCAACTGGTAGTGACATCTAGGCGGAGATACTAGGAGACATGTAAGAGGTATGTATGCCACCTGGTAAGTGTAATCTGAACTATATCAAATCAATTTGGAACGTGTCATAGTACAAATATAAAACAGGCATAAGGAGCAGAAGCCTGTTCTGATCGTAATGCGTTTAAAATCAATTTTACGCCCATATAGGTGGATAATATGTGACTAACACAATTTGTAATGTGATTAAAGACTGTAAAAGTTTCTCATCTTAGTCTAAGAAGGCTAAATTATACTATCTAGTAATAGCAGTGCCTTACGATGAGCATTGAATTACATTTACCTCTGGAACCCTAAACCGATGGCCAACACGACGTTCCGATACTAGACTTCAACTTTTGGGTACGTTTCAGAATTAACAGAGACCTTCTCGAAAAGCTAACAGTCTAACCGATCATTAAATTCCCAGTTCTTTTCTTTTTTGGAACCTGAAATTTCATAGTCCCTTTCACAAGAGCCACACAACTGGTCCTTGTTCTGAACCAGAATGATCTAATCCACACCTTCACATATTCTTTAAGGTCCCTTTTAAAATTGTACTTTTATCTATGATGTGGATCTATGTATCCACTCCCCCATACACCTTCACGGTGTAGTGCTTGATAGTTAAGAACAGGAACAACTTTAATTTTACCTTTACTTTTATCTAAGACTAGTTTTCCATAGTGGCCTCTTTCTTTCAGGTTTCCGATCAAAATTTTGTATGTGTTTTTAATTTCTCTTCTTCATGCTACATGCTCTGTATATCTGGTCTCCTTGGTTAGGTAAACAGTAAGTTAAAGTTGTCGCCGTACTTAGCTAATTGATCACTACTCCATGAAGACGTATGGGGGAGTGGATATATAGACCCACGTTTTCTTGACCTCGGCATTAGCTGGGGATGAGTGCTCAGCATTACGCCCTGCCGCTTTACCCCCGGTACCCATTGTATAGGAGGCTGGATGGGCCCCAAAGCCGGTCTGGACGACATGGTGAAGTGAAAATTCTTGTCACCACCGGCCGTCCAGCCCGTAGCCAGTCACTACACCGACTGGGCTATCTCGGCTCCGTCGATTATGTAACCTAGTAATATTTTGGATGAAGCTCATTATTAGGAATTTTCTCTTTCTATCTGTTACATCCTCTCCTTCAGCCCCAAATATTCATCTCAGCATCATGTACATTGTAAATGAAAATCAAGACGGCAGCAAGTTGGAAACGTTGGGAGACAGAAGGCAATATTCTTCAGGTAGAATTATTATGGCTTAATACATTTTAATCCTTACACTTTTTACCTTGCGGATGTACTTGATGTGCTGCGGCAGGGCGGGCGATATAGTCTGACATCTAGCGGTGTACTTCCTGACTACGTACACACTTCGAGTAGAAAAGTTTTTGCTGCCTTGCCTTGGGCTTTTTGAATTAGCAGACAAGCTTCCTGGTTAGACTACTCGGTTACTCTGTTTGCTCTCTTCGTTTATACGTTCTTGAGCGCGTAATGACCATCAAATCTATTCTTTCTGAAGAATGGCTTCCTTTTTATTTATTTAAAACGGAACTGAGTCTGTTGATGCGAATCAGAATTGTGGACAATTTCTTTGAAAAGTCGGTTTGAAAGCGTTACAACATGCCGCTTCGCTCTGCACTGAATCAAACACATCGAATCCTTATAACCATAGCGATACGTATTTCGTACGCCCTTATTCATAAGACTGTAAAGTAGCATGTATGCATTATTTGCCATCATGCGTGCTACATACTCAGCCGATCTTACCCGTATTCGCAAGTCGAACAGTGTTACAATGAAAATTCTTCACCGTATAATTTATTTCAGTGGCCAGTTTGTTGACTCCTTGCAATGCAACACAGGTCAATCCTGCTTAAGGCCTCTCATTTTTCCGCGTTTTATAATCTTTATCGACATTTGATACAACTCCATGGATGAGGGATAGGCCCTTTACAAGGCGTGTATCTACGTAGAACAACACAAAAGCAAGGTAAGTTATGGCCGAAGTGGGATTCGAACACAAGACCCCAGTGTTGGAGCTGCAGCCGACAGTACAAAACGAATACAGAACTGTCAATGCAGCATGACATGAAGGCATATGGAGAAGAGAAGGTACGCTCCACGCATTTTAATCTTCGATTCTAGAGAGAGGTGTGTTTCTAGCTTCACGTCCTGGCCGCTTTCCTCTAGGAGATATGGCCCCTGGGGCCCATTTGATATAAAGCTCGGAGGGCCCCATCGTCGGTCCTAATGGATCCTGTGGAGAGCAGAAAATCTGTTGTCTCTGTCGGGAATCGAACCCCAGTTCTTCCGTCGTATATCATATAATCTTGTCGGTATCCAGACTATTGCTTTCGGAGATAATCTTTTAAAATGTAGAAGGTATTGTGTGTATATGAAATAAGGGCTGTGAATGCTTCATAAGAATGTTTAACGTTTATGCTTTCTCACTGTGCAGACGCATTCCGCGAATGTTTGCTTTTATTCCCCAAATAAAAGCACGCGGTTTTTTAGGTTGCTGTCCTAATGCGCCGTACATCTATCTTAATATTCAGAGCTAATGATATTCGCTGTGACAGTTTGTGAGGGTGCCCTCATCACTGACATCACGTAGGAGGCCAACGAGCGCTCACAGAGACAGCCAATTTGTGCCGTGTTCTTATTGAAGTACTTTCAGCGAGTAAAATGTTTAAGCTCTGGAAACTAAAGCTAAATTCAGGGAAAAGACATAAAAGTTCCCATAGATGCTTTATAAAAACGAAAAAAAAACCGTTGTCCTATTTATAACATGAACCAGGGATTTTCCTGGGGTTGAAGAGTGACCGGCGCGTAAGGCTGACAACCTTACAGCCATCTGTGAACCGATTATCTAGAAAAATGTGGGAGCCTCGACGTCTCACAACCTTTGGGCCTCCACGGCCTGTTACAGGGTTAGCTGGGCGCTTAAGGCTGACAACCTCACCGCCATCTGTAAATCGATTGTCTAGAAACATTTGGGAGCCTCGACGTCTCACAACCTTATGGGCCTCCATGGCCTGTTACAGGGCTAGCTTTACCCTATACTATTTATGTCTTGCGGTTTTCTCTTTTTAGATTTACGTGTCGTTTTGCATGGTTTTCTGTACCTGAATCTAAGGCAGTGGTTTCCAGACTTCATACGTTTGCCCACAGCTTAGCAACGATATCTTCGCGCTCTACATCTTAAGTTTATGTATAAAGAGCAGGGTTTTTAGTTTTTTTTTATTTCTAACATAAAAACATTTTAGGTTTTTTATTAATAAACATTCTCCAAACCCATAGGTTATCTCCAAACTGGAGCTCTGGACAGGAGAAGTTCTGCCAGAAGAATGTCACGTGACAATAATATGCAAGAGAGATGATAACTTTGGTGCCAATGTGGCTTCAAAACGGGATGTACAGCTGTTAGTCAGCTGTATGCATTAAGACTGGTACTGATTTAGGCAGGGCTACGATGCAGTGCATACAGCATATATCAGTCTTGTAGGGCCTTCAGGATCCCCAAGAAAATGGTAAGTCTAGTCAAAATGGCCCTCAAAGATTGGAACTCAAGGGCTCAAATTTAAGGATTAGTGAATTTCTTCAATTTACCTATTCCTTCCAGACGCAATATAGCCCTGGGGTCGACTCAGCCGCTAACAGAAATGAGTACCAGCAATATTTCTGGGGGTAAAGGGCGGCTGGCGCATAAGGCTGACAACCTCACCGCCATCTGTGTGCCGATTGTCTAGAAAATGTGGGAGCCTCAACATCTCACAACCCTATGGGCCTCCACGGCCTGGTACAGGGGTAGCTTTACTTTTACTTACTTATTAAAAAACATTTATTAAAATTTTACACATGCACGAAATTGAGAAACAGATCTCTGCTATTTTGAAAATTATAATACATATAATTTTACTTTATTACACCGTTTTTCCAGGATATCCTGCGTTCCCTCTCAACTAACTAATCACGCCTTCCCGGGAGGGGGGGTCGAACGCTTTCGATCTCACTGCCCTAAAGGAAGGACACAGACTCAGCATTACACTTTAAGTTCTCACATCTGTCGCTGTGAAGAGCAGTATCTTTCGGGATGTGACGTCATTATTTATGGATATTAATAAATAAACCACAAGAATGTAGACAGTAGGCCTAATAGTGATTCAAAATTTTGGAAATTAAGAAATTAAATTGTATGCCTGAGTAATCCATGTTATTTCAACGTCTGTCTTTTTGTAGCCCTACTCAGAAATCTGTTTTATTTGTATTGTACATAATTTGCCATAAATCATTATTATGCCATGCAATCTAGGCCGTAAAAATTATAATTGTATATTTCATATTCTGTATATCTGACTAGATTTCTCAATAAAGTCCTGTACAATAGATATATGTTAATACAGTCTGTTGAATGGGTTTTCATTGTACTGGAATGGCTCAATTATTAGATGTCCTCTTCAAAATCTTCGAGTAAATCCTCCAAACTGTCAGCGTGATTTCCTCCCCTTCTAAAACTCTGAAAACAAAAACGTGCAAAGTTCATAGGGAGTTTTTGCATTCATTAAATTCTAAAGTACAGAAACATATCCAAAGATTTCATTGTAATTCGACTTGATTTCATATTATTAATATAATTACAATCAAATCAAATAATTAAGCAGCAGTTTCAATTTTTACAAGAGACAACACAAGGGAATCGAGCGGCTGAGTACACCGGTAACGCTCTAGACCCGTTATTAGGACGTCAATGACTAAGCCCAAATCTTAAATACCAAGAAAATGATAATTTGCCGCCTGATCAGGGGCATCACACCTCAGAGGCGGTAATAAACCGGTATGAAACAATGGCGGAATGATACTTAGAAGGAAAAACGGATAAAAAACCCAGAAAGTCCATCACCAGTGTCACATGACATCAAATTATATTCCTTTCGTAAAAAGGTAAATTTGTCCTTGTGATAATTAAGCACTACGTCATGAAGTCATATATATGGATGTATAGCTCCACATTTTCTTCACCTCGGCACTAGTTGGAAGTGAGTGGTCAGCTTCACGCCTCTGCCGCTTTACCCCCCGGGGAAACCGCCCCTGGTACCCCTTGGATAGGAGGTTGGGCGGACCCCAGAGACATTCTGAACGACATGGATAAGTGAAAATTCTTGACCCCACCGGGATTCGAACTCCGACCCCTCGTTCGTCCAGCCAGCAGCTGGTCGCTATAAAAAATTAAATTCGCTTGGTGGGGGGTGGAGTCCAACTGGGTCCACTCGGCATGGCGGTCACTGATTGGCCTATTGTAGCCTGTCCCGGGTGATTATGATGATGGAGAATTTGGTGGAATGAAGATTGGCAGGGGAAACCGAAGTACTCGGAGAAAACCAGCCCCAGCGCCACTTTGTCCACCACAAATACCACTTGACCAGACCCGGGATCGAATCCGGGCCGCCACGGTGGGAAGCCAGTGACTAACCGCTTGAGCTATGGCGCGGCCAGCTGGTCGCTATACCGACTGCGCTATGTTCCTTCTATACATTATTTAGTATGTGTCCTTACATCTTGGCTATGGGTTAAAAAGTGCTTTATGTCATTAACCCCTCCCCCGCCTTTCTTCTGTTTCACAGATTAGGTTTTCTGGCCTGTTCCAACTAGCTGCTGAAAATCTGAATCATATAGACAATTCGTGGGGCTCCTTGAACGGGGGATCAGCCTGTCAGCAAGGCCTCTCCTTACACAACGCAAACATACAAGGATCCTGGATATAAACCCACACCTTAAGGGGGATTTGAACCCATGATATCAAAGTTCCAGCGGAAAAAGGCTGCACGTGGGTCAGATCACGAGGTCATTTTTATCGCCCCCTAAAGTGCTGCTTCGCAAAATACATATTTCGCAGTGTATCTACGCATTTCCAGACCGTCTATGGGGCCCACCCAGCCTCCTTTCTAGTGGGTAATACCGGTGGTAAAGCAGCCGAGGCGTGAAGCTGACCATTCAGCTCCACCTAGTGCCGAGGTCAGGAATGGTGGAGCTATACCTCCAGATCCCACAAGTCCTCATGGCGTGGTGCTCAATTAACTGAGCACAGGGAAAACTTTACGTTTCATCTACGTGCCGACCTACACGGTCTAACGCGTGGCACTTGAGAGTGGTCTCCGAAAATTGTTTGGAAGATCTGCCTCCCCACTTAGCACTTAAAACTCTGTCAGTGCAGCAGTATAGCAATGCTGAGATGGCTTACCAGAGAATGTGTGGGATCACTATGGATCAGTAGGTCTTGCAGCTGGCTTATGTACTCGATGGCTTTGTGCAACGTTTTCACTTTACTTACTCTCTTTCCTCTGCAACAGAACAAAATCGAATAGACAATGATTAACGTTATAATTAATTAATTAAATAACCTAACTAACTTAACGAGGAGTACATACAGTCGCTGAGCCACTCAAGAATTTCCCATCATTTTACAAAATCCCAAGCTTCAATAGCGTGTCCACAAGAGCCCGCCACTGGTCCATATCATGAGCCAGATGAATCCATTTCACATCCTTCCTTCTTAAGTCAATATCTTATGTTTATGACGGTCAAGACAACAATAAAGAAGAAATATCTTCAGGAGAAGACAAAAATAGGTGTTGATGTCGTGACAATTAAGTTTAATAACTTGGGTTACAGATCATAGAAAGGTGTTTTGTGATGACCTAAATTATAGGTCGAAACATGTAACGCAAGTCAACCTCTGTTTTTGTTTTATTATAAAGATATTTCTGCTTTATTGTTGTGTTGCCGGTCATAATCATAAGATATTATACACACAACAAGATGCAGTCTATAAGTTTATGTCATTAAGATCAATTTTAATATTAGCCTGTAATCTATGTTTAGGTCTTCCTATGGGTCTCTTTCTTACATATTTTCCTTCGTAGATTATTTAAGGTCGCTGTTAGTAATTGCCATTATAAAGCTTCGAGTGGTTGGATAACAGCGAGTAGCGAATTGGAAAAGATGTGGAAGGAAGTGTTAATGCCTAAATTTAAGATACTTTCCCAAAATTTTCTGGAGGAACTGAGGAAAATTATGAAAACATCTCAGTCAGGATAGTCTGTGTCGCGGCCCAGGTTCGAATCGGACGAACTTGATGATGTCGGCCACGACAAAATGTATGTTTTATCTGTAATGTCTGTGTGGGCATGTCATTATGTGAGCAGGCGGTCCAATGAAACAAATATCCTTTGTGTTAAACGGTATTTATTATTATTATTATTAGAGGGGGTGGGTTTCCCCATGCACTTAGACCAGTTATTGGGCCATTGTGCGTCCCCCTTTAATTTCTATTGTCGCCATACCCTACCGGTACTGGTGCGTGCTATCAGCCCCGTTCAGCCAACGAGGTCGGCCCTCGGTATCTGATATTTCCCCCATCTACCAGAGGCATTAGAAACCACTTGGGCGGGAAACTGTTGCCTAATTTTGCTCAGAGGTCTCCTAGAGACATGAGGATCTTTTATGTAAGTCTACGACACGGGACCCACGGCTTAAAGTCCCTCCCCGAGGGCTTGTTCCCTGAATTTTTCCGCCCTTAAAAATTCCACGATCTCCGCCAGGTTTGAACCCGCGTACCTTGAGTCATGAGGTGGGAACGTTACCCCTAGACTACGGAGGCCTCTTTGTGTTAAACGGTATATCTGTAATGGTGATTTTCGTTCACAGCGTATGTATTTAAATATCAGCCAGCAACTTTTCAAATATCTAGTAATATAAACTCCATTCACTATAGAAACGAGGGCGCGTCATAGTCAGTGACGTAGACCATTACGTCATAATTACAAAGTTACCAGAGCCTGTTTACAAAGCACCTCTGGTGACCATTTGTTCATTTGTCAGTGGCTCTACAGCTCTCTGTTAGGCCTTGGCCGCTTTTCTCAATTTCGTAATCCTACACACATTCGATAGAGGAGCCGGGACTGCGCAGTCGGTATAGCGACTGGCTACGGGCTGGACGGCCAAGGAGTCGTAGTTTGAGTCCCGGTGGGGGTAAGAATTTTCATTTCTGAATGTCTTCCGGACCGGCTCTGGGGCCAAACAGTCCTCCTATCTAATGGGTACTCGGGGTTATTTCCCCGAGGGGAAAGCGGCAGGGGCGTGAAGCTGACCACTCTCCTCCAACTAGCGCCAAGGTAAAAGCACTTCAGTCTATACAGCCACTCCCCCATACGCTTTCATGCCATAGTGCTTAATTAGTTAAGCTTACTTACTTACCTACTTACTCGTGGAGCTGGGCCCTTCTCGAGGAGCCGCCAATTCTGCAGCTACTCAAAAATTTCCCAGTATTTTATGGAACCCGAAGGTTCATTACTGTGTTCACAAGAGCCCTCCGCTGGTCCCTATCCTAAGCCAGATCAATCCAATCCATACCATCCCATCCTATCTCTCTAAGATCAATTTTAATATTGTCCACCCACCTACTCCTTGGTTTTCCCAGTGGTCTCTTTCCTTCTGGCTTCCCACCAATATCCTATACCCATTCCCGTTCCCTCATTCGTGCTATATGCCCTGCCCACCTCATCCTTCTTGATTTGATCATTCTAATTATACTTGGAGAACCGTACAAGGTATGAAGCTCCCCATTATGCAGTTTTCTCCAACCTCCTGTCACTTCGTATCTCTTCGGACCAAATATTCTCCTCAACATCCTGTTCTCAAACACCCTTACTCTGTATACCTCCCTTAATGTCAGAGACCAAGTTTCACATCCGTACAGAACCACAGGCAAAATTATAGTTTTGTATATTCTAATTTTTATGTTTTTGGACAGCAGACGAGAAGACAAAAGGTTCTGGCCTGAATGGTAGCAAGCATTACCCGAGTTAAATCTCCTCTTAATTTCTTCCTGAATCAAGTTTCGATCTGTTATTGTTGTTCCCAAATTTCTGAACTGTGCCACATTTTCAAAACATCTGTTTCCTACCTTTATGTCATGATTTTGCCTTGCATTTTGAGGACGAGACAGTAACATATACTTAGTTTTCTGTGTGTTTACTTCTAGACCAACCTCTTTACTTGCGTCAATTAAAGTCTGTGTATTTTTCTTTATGGTATCTACATTATCAGCCAGTAGATTCACATCATCGACATAGGCCAACAGATGATGTGTCCCGTTTAATTTTAGTCCCACCTGGTTGCCCTGGACCTTCCTAATGGCATATTCTAAAGCAAAGTTGAAAAGGAGTGGCGATAAAGCATCTCCTTGTTCTAGACCATTCTGGATAGGAAATTTATCAGACAGCTGTTTACCTATACGGACTTCAGTATACATTTCATTTAAACACATTTTAATCAGCCTAAATAGTTTCATGGGTACCCCAAATTCTATGAGAATATTGTGCAATACTGAATACTGAATCATAGACTTTCTTGAAGTCTATGAACAGCTGATGTACTGTCTCATCGTACTCCAATTTTTTCTCCAATATCTGACGAATGCAAAAGATCTGATCTGTAGTTGATCTGTTACGTGGAAACCCACACTGATGATCCCCAATAACTTCATCTATATATGGACTTAACCTTGAGAGAAGAATATTGGACAAAATTTTGTATGAAGTTGATAGCAGTGATATCCCCCGATAATTACAGCAGTCAGTTTTATCACCCTTCTTGTGAACTGGTACAATAATAGACTCCTTCTACTGATTAGGCAAATTTTCCTTATGCCAATAGAAGTAATTAGATTGTGGATCTTAGAATGTAATATTTCGCCTCTTGCTTGAATAAGTTCTGCCGGAATTTGATCACTACCTGGCGATGTATACCGTTTCAATTTTGCAATAGTACCTTCAATTAACTAGTTAAGCAGAGGAACAAATTTACCTCTTCATATAAAGTTAGTAGAAACCCTTGGAGGGGGAATCAGCCCGTCGCAAGGCCGCTACATACACACAGAACAGCACAAACACAGAATAAACGCACATAGACATCAATGCCTCGAGTGGAATTCGAAACCACGATCCCAGTGTTCGAGCGGGTGAAGATGATTCATGCATTAGACCACGCGGCCACAATGATCAGCTCTGGTAAAAGCTCTGGGAAATTCGACCATATTTACACAGGATTTTTTTTCCGTAAGGTTGCCTACGTAAGGTGTGACGTATCCTCGGTCGTAGAGTAGACGGAGTAGACGGACTTCTTACGTCACTCTCTGATGACGATTCCCCCTCAGAAACGTTTTGAACACAGTACATATGAACTCTCGTACAGTCAGACATACATAGATGAACATACGCTCTGTAAATAGGAATAAGAAAATGCAGACGGGAGAATCTGATACACATTCCTAGTTACCAGCTGTTTCTGTAAGATTCATAACCCATGGTCCAACACCAGAATATTTAGAAAGGTCATATTAATGACCTCTTACGGCCTTGCCCGCATTTCACCAAAAGTCACGTGTACACGGTCTTTTAAATCTTCAAGGATGAGACGAAAAGCGGGTCTTTTATTTTTGCAGGGTACACATTTGGGGGGAGGACACGCGGTAGCGTAGCTGGTTGAGGCACTATGCTACAAGTCGGAAGGTCACGGGTTCGATTCCCGATGGGGTCATTGTATTTTTCAAATTACCTAATACTTCCAGCTGCAGTATTGCCCTAGGGTCGGCTCAGCCTCTAATAGAAACGAGTACAAGGAATCTTCCTTGGAGTAAAGGGCGGCGGGCGCGTAAGGCTGACAACCTCACCGCCATCTGTGATCCGATTGTCTAGGAAATGTGGGAGCCTCGACGTCTCACAACCGTATGGGCATCCACGGCCTGTGACAGCGTTAACTTGGCGCGTAAGACCGACAACCTCACTGCCATCTGTGAGCCGATTATCTGAAAGATGTGGGAGCCTCAATGTCTCACGGCCCTATGGGCCTCCACGGCCTATTACAGGGATAGTTCTTTTTACATTTCGGCGGGGGATGTAGATCGAAGTGCAGGCTGAGACATTCGACCTCAGTACATAAATAATATATAACATCCTTTTTATCAGAGGCTCAGACTGAAAGGCTATGAATGGGTGCGTTTGAGTAGCGGTAGTAGTCTTGATTTGTGTTCCGGAATCGCTAGGTTCGATTCTAGGGCAGGGTCACCGGCTATCCTGAGGAGTTTGATGATTTACTCCGTCGAATGTCGGGACAGAATCTCAAGTGGGCGACTTTTACTTACTTCCAAATCCATTTAAATTTATCAGTCATTCTACATTATTTTTAAGAGTAACGCTGATTATAATTTAAATATTGAACTCTTAAACACAATTTTGTTACTCTTATTTTTAACGATAAAGTCTCTCCTCAAACAGCTGATGGTGTCTCTTGACAATTTTAGCGCCTTTTTCGGTGTGCCCTGAGGTGCACAAGTTGAAAACAATTCTGGTCTAGCTAATGACAACGGCGTAAAATAAACCCAAGAAAATGTAAGGTTTCGTGTCATTATGACCTAGCACCGAACCTTCTAGTCGAGGTTCCCACTTCATATCTGGGAGGTGTGCGGTTCAAATCTCGGCTGAGAGACCGGGTATTCTTGCTGGGCATTTTCGTTGTTACCTTCGGTCCCTCTTGACAAGAAAGGGAAAAGTTGATCCTGTGCTTAATTAATGAAGCACTACGTCTTGAAGACGTATGAGGAAGTGGAGATATAGCTCCACCATTCTTGACCTCGGTACTAGGTGGATGTGAGTGGTCAGCTTCACGCCCCGGCCGTTTTATCGCCGGGCTAAGAGCCCCGGGTACCCATTGTAGAGGAGGCTGTGTGGGCACTAGACACGGTCTGGATACTGTGCTCTAGAGGAAAATCTGCCCCTGCCGGGAATCAAACCCCGGCCGTATCCCGTTGTTCTACCGGCTGAGCTACCCCGGCTCCCAACCGGTACCGGGATAATGCACCAAATTAGGCCACGTTCGTTTCCTTTCATATCCTTTCCAATTAACTGTTCACTGATTGTGCTAATGCGACGCAAGCTGAGTTACTGAAGCCTCTGGCTTATTCCTTGACGTGGAAACTGACTGGTTACAGAGTAAGGAAGGGTTAGCTAATACAGAAATAGACCTACCTGTTGTTGCCAATAGGCACAACTTTACGCAGACGGCTGAAGGCAGAATTGACGGCTTGTACTCGACGCCTTTCACGAGCGTTCCGACGCGCTACTAGCTGAGGCGGTTTGTCCCGGTGTGGAACGTGCTTATACGTGGCGCTGGAGACCCTCGTCTTCTTCGTCCGGGATTTGCCCCTGCTTTTGGGAATTGTGTCCATATTGATGACGTCAGGCGCGCGTTCTGTCGCCTGCAGGCTTACACTCAACGGCCTTGACTCCTGACCACTGTGATCTGTTGTATTCCCGTCATCCATCAACAAGTCACTGTTCCAAGTCACGTTTATTTCTTCGGATCCTTTTGAAACATTTTCATCGCAGCAGTTGGTAATGATATCATCAACGACTGATTCTCTTCCGTGAAAATTTGAAGATTTCCATGTACAAGGTTCTATTGTTGAAATATGTAGGGAAGATTGTTCATTTGTTAGTGCTAAAGATGCCGACCACGTCATAATGTTGTTAGTTTTGTTATACGAGTTGTTTGAATTATCGTGACCCCAGTCACAAGATGGAGGAACTTTAGCGATGTGGCTGATATCAACAGAACTGTTTCCGTTTGCATACATACATGGAGTCAACAGAGATAAATTATCGTCAAGGTTTGTCATAGTTTCCTGAAGTAATAGTGATCACCAAAACATATTAAGTCTTGTCTTATTTTCAGGAAACATATTTTTTTAATATTGTCTTAGTTATGAAACCACTACTATTGCACTGCCTGTTCGATAATATAACACGAAAAATCCATGGCGTGATTATTTCCATAAATTCACAACACTGATCTTATCATGCCGGTACTGGGACATTACAGTTCAAATTTTTTCTTCAGTTGAACTGGGACTAACATTTCTTATAAAGCACCTTACAGTGACATAAAAGAAAGCACGACATTACACTGTCATTACAGTTAATAGTTTGTTGATTAACCTGCATTATTTTTTTTCCTTGTCACTACAGGCCCAGTGGGCCTAGGCCTACCTCCAATAACTTCTCCGTTCACTTCGGTTTTTCTAGATCTTACACATTCGGTAGGACTCCTTGGGCGGGTGATCAGCTCGTCGCAAGGCCTCTACCTGTACACAAACACAGAAAAACGCACACACACAAACTAAACATCCATGCCCTGAGTGGGATTCGAACCCACGATCCCGGTTTCCAAGCGAGCGAAGACAGTACATGCCTTAGACCGCTTGGCTACCGTGACCGGCAACCTGCATTATAGCAAAGGCAAGTATGTCCCAGTACGCAATTAAGCACAACGCAACGAAGATGTGTAGTGTCCTAGAACCAGAGTAACACGCGATTTTTACGTCCGTAGCAGGTGGAGGTGAGTGGTCAGGCTCACCATTCGGCCGCTTTGCAAACCGCGAGAAAATCCCCCGATACCCACTGCATAGGAAGTTGCAGAGGATTGAGAACCAGTCTCGATGAGGCGGCGAAGAGAAGAATTAGTGTATCTGCAAGGAATTGAAGCCCGACTGTCCAATTAGTATAGTTACCATCCCAGTTCTCAGCATTAAAGAATCCCTAAAAATTGTTAGATTAATAATAAAATAACATTATATTGTTGTAGTAAATAACACAGCACCACAAATTTTCAATTTTTTTGATGTTTACGAAATGAAATGTTTTTTAAGTATATTATGTAGATTTTATTACAGAAGTGACACGGAAATTTGTAACACGCAGATATTTTCCTTGTCATCCTCTGTTTTATCGTTGAATGCAATACAGATGAACGTACATACCACTTTTACTTAAATTGGGGTAAAAAGACGTCACTTTCTGAGATTATGGTTGACAAATATTTTACGAACACTAAGATAAAGAAATACAAAAGTGAATAGAAATGCACTGTCTTGAGTCAAAATTCCATGTATAAAACTGTCAGGCGGTGAAAGATTATCGTGTCCGGATATGCACTCACCATAAAAGCAATGATTTAAAAAAAGTGAGTTTCTGTTATGATATACGTAATTGTACAGTAGTGTGATCTGTACTGAAGTCGCAGAATTACAAATTTGTTTCCGAACACGTGATACAAACCTTCTTGAAAGTCAGACCCTAAAACTCGACGCGCTTAAAGTACGTGCATGTCGCACCAAGCAGAGAACAACAATGACTGCTGAACTTGGTAGAGTTTAATGTGTTCCCATATATCTTGACGCACGGCTAGGGATAGGCTCGTGCTGCCGATTCTATCTTCACCACCTCCAACTTAATCGTACTGTGGGCCCGCATGTGTTCCCAGCACCTGGCCAGGTGAGGAAAGGGGATGGGGTGGGGTGTTAACACACCACACTTAACCCATAATTTACGTTATCAGCTGTTCCTTATGAGAATTTTATTAAATTTAGGGAAGTTTGGGGGTACGCGGTAGCGTAGTTGGTTGAGACACTATTCTAAAAGCCGGAAGGTCGCGGGTTCGAGTCCTGATGAGGTGGATTTTTTCAATTTACCTAATCCTTCCAGCCGCATTATGGCCCTGGGATCGACTCAGCCTCTAACAGAAATAAGTACCAGGAATCTTCCTGGGAGTAAAGAGAGGCAGGCGCGTAAGGCTGACAACCTTATCGCCATCTGTTAGCTGATTGTCTAGACGAAACGTGGGAGCCTCGACGTCTCACAACCCTATGGGCCTTCACGGTCTCTTACAGGTAACGGTGAGGGTTTCATGACGCTGTCAGTGTCCAGAACATACAGCGTCGAAATTTAGGTAAAGGTAAAAAAAAAATGTAAAAGCCGATCACAGCGACTGTGCCGTCCAAAGCATGAATTATCTTCGTCCGCTCGAACATTTTGATCGTGGGTTCGAATCCAATTCGAGGCATGGATATTTGCGTTTTTTCTGTATTTCTGTTGTCCTGTGTGAGTAGGGGACTTGCGGAGAGCTGATCCACCGCCCAAGGAGTCCTACCGACAGTCTATGTGATTAAGAAACTGTAAAACAGACGCCAATGTTCATCATGGCCTGTAGCGCCCACAGATTAATTAATAATTAAAAAGGTAAAGTTATCCAACCCTGTGCTTAATTTATTAAGCACCCCCCCCCCTTGAAGCCGTATGTGGGGAGTGAAGAAATAGTTCCATAATTCATGGCAATGGAAGATGAAATGGAAATATTTGGAAGCAAGTTGTGGTGGCACAATGGAGCATTTATCAAGAGGGACTGAGGAATACCACGAAGGACTTCAGCTAGTGTAACCAGTGTCTTGGCCGAGATTCGAACAGAGCACACCCTGCATGTAAGTCTCGAAGGTTCCCGCTATACCAGCCTGTTTAACCAAATAAGGAGCTCTGTGTGAAGTTCACTGAAACGAGAAGCCGTAATGGGTCGGTAGGAAAAAGTTAAACTTATCCCTTTGCTAAAGTACGAACGACGGTATTGAAACCTACGGGGAGTGGGAGAAATTCTCCACGCATTACTAACCTCGGCGTTCAATGGAGATGAGCATCAGCTTCGCGCTCCGGTCGCTGTAACCTGGGCAAAGAAACACCGGTACCCTTTGGACAGAAGGTCTGGTGGACCCCAGAGCCCGTCTGGCTGCTGAGGAGAAAAAGAAAGACTTTACCTTGTCGGGGACCGCCTCTGTGGGCTAGTGGTCAGAGCTGCTGGCTACAGATCCAGAGGTCCCGGGTTCGATTCCCGGCGCTACCAAATGTTCTGAGAAGTAGTGGGTCTGGAACGGGGTCCACTCAGAGTCGTGAGGATAATTGAGGAGCTATTTCAAGGAAATAGCCTCTCCGGTCTACAAAACCGAGATTAACGGCCGTGGGGATTCGTTGCGCTGACCACGCGACACCCTCTATCCACAGAAATTGGCATTAACTTCGTCGACAAGCGGCGGTAGCTCAGTCGGTATAGTTCGATTGTGGACTACAGACAACGGAGTTTTCCCTTGTCGGAAACGATCCCCGATTCCTCGTCGGTCCAACCCGTAGCCTGAGCACTATACTGACAGCGACAATAGCTGTGCCGTACAGGACGCTTTCGGTTATAGTTTCACAGGAGCATACTGCCTCTGTCTTCATGAATCTCCACGGCCATGAAAGTCTCAAGTCTCTCATAACGCAGAAGCGAACTCAAGTATTCAAAATCACGCGGCAGCTCTGATATCGCTTGTTAAATTCAAGAATTAGAAACACTGGCCATTGTCGAGGTATATGTTAGGGTTCCGAAGGATTAGACGGTGTGTACACATAAAATAATCCAACAGAACAGGTCCAACCCAGATGCGAAGTGACGTAACCCTGAAGATGGAAACGATAAGGATCTTCGAAACGTCGGCGGTGCCACTACCCTTAATCACGGTTCACATCAGGCAATATTGACCTCTGTTTTAAAACCACTTCTAGTACCTGAGTACAGTCATCTACAATGATAACCACCCTAAAGTTAGATGAGTGTAATTTGGAATGAGACGCTATACAGTCTGGTAGAAAGTTACAAATATTTCGGAAGAACTAGTTTTCTTCGTCCTTAATTTTCCTAACTTGAAGATGGATGCAGCAGTTTCTCCCTTATGTTGGTGAATATACGCCAGATTACACGGCGTCACATCTTGTTCACCGCTGTGAGAACCTCAGATCTCGCTCCGAAGACCCTATATTGTCCTAACAAAACAATGGTCTTACGGCGACCTCCACTAAATATAGAAACTTAGTATTTTTTTATACTGACCAGTTCCAAACAATTTTCATGGTGCACTGGAATAAACAAAAATATACGTCATAACAATATTTCACAACGATTGACGGAAAGTAAAATAAAATAGCTGAATTAGTAAGTTCGTTGGTATTTAATAGCAAAATCGAAATATTTAACTTTAAAAGTTCAGAAAAAAATCGAATTCTAATTGCTAAACCGTAACTTGGTCTCACATGTCCTTCCCTTTCTGTCAGTTTACAAGGCCAACATATATTATTTTTAGTATAATAATCCATTTAAAGTAATTACTAGACAAAAGAAGAAAAATGTCCTCTTTTAACTACGAAATTTTACGAAATTTCTCAAAACGTTTAATCGCATACTGTAGATGTACAGTAGCACCAGATATAAAACCCTATAAGTTGTTAACTTTTATCGGAAATGTCATAAATATTCAAAAACGTAAATTGCAGAGCCAAGCAAAGTTTTTAAGTAAAATGGCAGTCTGATCATTTAAGAAATTTTCCTCAGATATAATTTAAGATATAAGAAGAGTTCAAAATTTACAATTTTGTTCATAACTTGTTCACGGAAGATTTCTGTTAATAACAAGTTGGACAAATGTTCCAACCTAAGACGTTATACTCTATAATATGCGTACAGAACGCCGAAGACATTCATAAAAAATCACTTACGCCTATCTGAAAAAACAACGAGATGATGTATGCTGCATAATGAAAAAGCCCGTGGATATGTGTCCCAAATGATCTAACAGTAATGAATAGGATATATACGGAATTAAAGAGAAAGAAGTTAGATTTGTTTTGGGGTACTGTACCGGAAGTTTGTCTGAAAAAAAAACTAAGTTAAAACTCGGGCCATAGATTCGAACCGTACTCGTTTCTAAAATTATGTTCACACACGATTAAAATCCAAGGGTACTGAACATTACAAGCAAACAAGAAAGTTGTTCAAATTTTCTGTATAAAAATTCTTTCCGGGAAGTTGCATTGAAACCATTACTGGAGTTAAGCAACGATACTGAGGCCACAGAAAGATGATACTGAGGCCACAGAAAGTTGACCCGTGGATCAATATCTTCCACACTTATTCCAGTTGTTACACTTTCCTCTACAGCATAATTCCCTGTATTTCTCTCCAGTCGTTAACTCATTCTGTCGATATGGATATCCATAATGATAACAGAGTGATAAACTTCGCTAGCTACCAGCGCATTGGCCTGGATGGAGAAAACGACAGGAGACAGAGTGAAGCGTCAAGGACCGCCATTACGCGCCAT